GTTTCCCATTTGTATGTTGCCTTTGGTGAAATCTCTCTTCAAATACTTGTTCATATTTTAACTGGGTTGACTGTTTCTCCTTGCTGAATGTTGAGAGCCCTTCGTGTCTTCAGGACGTAAGGCCAGTAACACATTGTTACTACCTGTGTGACTGGCAGGGGTCACCTTCCAGCCTGTGGCCTGTCTTCTCGTAAGGGCATCTTTTGAAAATTAAAATTTTTATTTTGATGAAACTTGTATTTGTCAGTTTTTTCTTTTATGAATCATGCTTTTGCTGTTAGAGTTAAGAACTTTGTATAATCCAGAACTAGAGATTTTATGAAGCTTTTGAGTTCTGTAATTTATTTCATTTTAAATTCTGTATATGGTGTGACATGGATCAAGACCTCCACCCTAATCATGGAATTACTTTCCATTGAACTGCCTTTTTTTTTTTTGAGTATTGTGGAGAATCAGTTGACCATAAATGCATGCATTTATTTCTGGACATTTTATTTGGTTCTATTGATTTTTATATTTATGCCAATATGATATTGTCTGGATTATTAATAACCTTATGGGAACTTTAAAAAAGTGTTTTAAGCTCTTAGAAATTCTTGCACTTTATTATTTTTTCAAAATTGTTTTGGCTCTTTCGTGTCTTTTATATTTTCATATGAATTTTAGAGTCAAAGTAAATTCTTTTTTAAAAAAATTTTTTCTTTTAAAGATAATAAGACAAAACAGAGCAAAGCAAATCAAAACAGAACAATGCAGTCAACCCAGGACTTCACAATGAGATAACAGGGCATCAACAGTATTATTGGGTGTGAGCATACCTTCACACACAATAATATCAAACATAACAAAATAGTATAAGAATGCACACTCTCATTCAAAAGCATGAAAGCATTACAGGACTTCAAAACCAGGTAACAGGAAATGAACAATGGCTACTATAATATCTTATTTTCCTCAAAAAAGTTGTTCAATACCATCACATGTAATAAAAAATAAAACAACAGGATAGAACCAATTAAAACAAGAACAAGAGCATTATAGGACTTCAAAACAAGATCATAGTAAATCACCAGTGGCTACCATGTCTCATTTTCTTCAGAATAGCTGTTCATACCATCACACATAATAAAATCTAACAAACCAGGATAAAACCAGTTAAACAAATGAAAGCATTATAAGACTTCAAAACAATATAATAGGAAACTATGATTACTATAATACATCCCATTGTTCATCCCATGTTCAAAATAGCTGCCCACACCATCAGACAGAATAAAATCTCACAAGACAGAATGAAGGCAAACCTAACAAAATTGTGAAAACAATGCAAGAGTTCAAGACAAGACAGTAAGAAATTAATGGTAGTTTCCACCTTTTCCTCCCAGGTGTTCCCAAAGTAAATTTCTGAAAAAGAAAAATCCTGCTAGGTTTTTTACTGGAACTATGTTTAATGTGTAGATCAATTTGGGGAGAAAGTTGCCACTATAATCCCCAATGTGAATGGTTTAAAATCCCAGATACTTTATTTAGAACTGTGTACAGGTGAGGGCTTTGTTTAACATCTGTGAGCCTGCATTTTTTTCCGCCTCTAAAATGAAGGTAGACATTCTGTGATAAGAGCAGGTAAATCAGTATTTTTCAAGTGCTTCACTGCTATTTTATTTCTATTATACTTCAGCAAACGTTTAATGGAGAGTGAAAATATAAAGTGTAGCACCACCATGAGACCTTTTTCATTGTTCTGGGGATGGATTCCCAGGCTTGCCCCTCTACACTGCGAGTTTCTCCTTTATTTTGAGCAGGCTTTCACTAAATAAGCCAAGCAGCCCTGAACTTTCCTCCTGCCTCAGCCTCTCAAGCCACTGCCAGGAGCCAGCACTTACAGCTCTGGGTCTTTGTTTGTTTAATGCATGCATATTACTTGTGTAGTGGACTTTGTCCTGACATCTCCATATGTGATAGAACCTACTTCATCTTGCTCCTGTTTTCTGAGCACGCGTTCTCCATAGGAACTGGTTCTCCACAGGTCACAGAGGAAGTTTTCCTCCTCATTGAGACCTAATTTACCAGCCACCTTTGTACTCCGGCTTGGCCGTTGCATGGGAGTGGTGCCTCCTTCCCAGAGGAGCTGCATCATTTCAGTGAGACTGACGGGTAAAACGAGGAGCAAGGAGCGGTTTGGAAATGCAGTGCACGAGGGCTGATTTGGGGTAGTAGGGGAAAGGAAGGAACTTCTAAAGGAAGTGGCCTTGACAGTGAGGTTTGGGGAAAGATGAGATTTGGGGGACCAGCCCAAGAAGCAGGGAGAGGAAGAGGGTGTGGGGCAAGAGAGAGAGAGAAGGGAACTCCATGCTTTGTACAGAGCACACATCTGGGTGCAAGGGAGAGTGCTGTGCTGGGGGAACGCTGGGAGGTGGGCCAGGAGAGAGGGTGCCTCATGAAACACTGAGTGCTGTGACTTGGTCCTGGTGGTCTCCAGGGGAAAGTGGAGAACAGAGCAGTTCAGAGGTCGCTGAGGCCGTTGGGCAGGGAGGTGCTGGTTTCTGACTCGAGTAGCTATTCGCCAGCTCGGTCTGGTGTCTGCTCTGCAGCAGGAAGTGGGGAGGTGGTGGGTTTGCTGCAGGAGGACAGGGGCTTGCTTCCGTCGGAGTTCTGGTGACACTGGTGAGACCGCCGAAAGTGGCCTGTTGTAGGCAGGGATGCAGTTGCCGAAAAGGAGGCCATGAGCTTCCCAGGTCAGGCCCAAAAGGGAGGAACAGTTGCTTGAGGGCCACCTTTGAAGGGGTTGTACCTTCCCTCAGCACCGCAGTGCCTCTCCAGTCTGCAGGGCTGTGTTTGCAGCTCCAGTTCAGCGTCTCTGTGGCGAGGTGCTCGCAGAGATGTGCAGCAGGACCTTGCCGAGAGTCCTGGGAGCGGAGTGACATTGCTGGAAGGTGCCGCTATTTGGAAATTATCCTCTGTTCCTTAATTATCAGAATGGCATTGAAGAAACCTGCTTAAATTGTGTGTGTGTCCCTGAAGGGTGTGTGTAGAGAGCATGTGTGTGACTCTGAAGGGTGTGAAGCAGAAACCGGAAGCACCAGTCACACAACTGAGAGCAGCCTGGGATGGACGGTGGTGGCATCACCTTGTACCTTGTACCTTGTACCTTGGGGTCTTGGACTGACTTTGCAGGACACCTCTGTGTTGGGAGATCCCAGTCCAAATTCTAGCCCAGAGCTTCTATTTTATCGTGTTTTCCCAAGGCAAAGAGGCATCTTGTCATGCTGGTGTTTGGAGGTAGAGGTGGAATTAATACTGGTAGCCCTGGATTCCGGGTGCTGTTTTCTGCTGACCTTGTGACCTTGGAGGGCCCCCTCCCTTAGTCACCACCTCCACACACCCCTTGAGGCCCTCTGGGCCGCAGAAGGTGGAGAGAGGGTGGCAGGGAAAAGAATCCAGTGGGTTCCTGGGCTGCCGATGTCTGGGACCTGCTGCCTGCCACGGTGCCTGGCACCAGCAGGGCCAAGTCAGTGGCACCCTGCTGCACGCGTCCCAGTCTGCGCCTCTGCCCAGGTTGCCCGGTCCTGCTGATGCTTACCGATTCGGTGTGTGTGCGTGGGGGGGTGACCTGTGTGGCTTACGCGTTGCTTCTGGTACAGGGACACATTTAATTTCATAACTGCAGTAAACAAATTAAAATTAGTAAATGAAAGTTTATTACTGCTTTCTGAAATCTAAAAGTATTCCCCCAAAGGCTGAAATCTTACCTGGGAGATCACCTAATGTGGAATCAGAACATTTGCTAATAATAATGTACCTTACCAGTTCTTTTAATTTACTAAGTGTTTGGCGTTGTTATAATTGCTAGAGCTTTGGAGCTAGTACGAGCAGAGTTTGGGGTGAGCCCTTCCACTCTGGTTATTTCCTCTGAGCATCTCTGTCTTTACAGGAGCCCTTGGGGTATGGGAGCCTGAGGGGGTGGGGAGGTGACAGGACAGAAAAAAAGGGGAAACAGCTTCGAAACCAAGCATCAGATGACTTCTGTTTGCAGTGCTGCCTAGGCCTGCGCTCCTGGGAATCAGTCGGTGACCAGCTTTGTCCCTACGCGCACACACCAACATGCACACACATGCGCACCCCCACCCACCCCCACAGCCCCCCCCACGCATGCACACATACACACATACACATACCCCATGCACACACACGTGTACACACACACACTGCATGCCCCTTTACACACACTTTTCAAAGACAGTTTGGCTTTCAGATGACTTTTAAAAATCTTGCTAGTAAAGCCAGTGCTTTTGACCCATCCTCTTTACCTGTCAGTAAATAGAAATGATAATGTCTGTTTGGCCTGCTCCTCTGTCTGAGGGTCAGTCTTTTGAAGTTCTGATAAAATGATTGAAATTCAAGTATTAAATGAACATGCACAAACTCATATCCTGTTCATGCTTTGATTGTAATCCAATTAGAAAGGACACCGTGAGTAGCCAATCAGATTCACAGGGGTAACTCCTTTTTCTTCGTGTAGGTGGCAAAATAATAGATGTATGATTCTTATGATATATTTCTGATTTAGAGATTGCAAGAGTTGTTTTGTCTTTTGTTTAATCCTTTGTATTGAAATTTTGGTGAAGATAATTAAACTTTCCTAACAAGAATAACAGTGCTTAGGTATTCAAGATAGGTTAGTGACTGTCTCTATTTCAGGTGCTGTGGCTGAGTCCTTATGTGCTGGGCAATAAAATGAAGGCATTGACAAGCGCGTGCTTCTTTTTTTTTTTTCTTTTGTTCTTTTTTTTCTGTCTTTTTGGGACAGGGTCTCGCTATGCAGTTCAGGCTGGCCTTGAGCTCACTTTATAGCCCAGGCTTGTCTTGAAGTCGAAACAATCCTCCTGCCTCAGCCTCCTGAGTGCTGAGATTACAGGCGTGTGCCACCACACCTGACAGCACATGCATTTCTTGTTTTGTGTTGTTTTACTATTTTACAATTTTCTTTTTCTCTAATTTAGGAGACAGATATTGATGACAGATATGGAGACTTGGATTCCAGAGCAGATTCTGATGTTCCCGAAATCCCACCTTCCTCAGACAGGACCCCCGAGATCCTACAGAAAGCACTGTCTGGCTTGTCCTCAAGGTATGACTGGTGAGGAGCTGCTCCTGGCAGCCAGGTGACCCTTGAGGTCATCGCTCTCTGTGTGATCAGTGTGGGGACCACAAGAGAGAACCTTGAACTCTGGGACTTGCATAGTAAGTGATTGATGGGCAGCCTTGAATTTTTTTTAATTCTGGTTTTAATTGAGTTTAAAATTACTCTACAAAATTCCACAAAACTTTACCATTGTTTTATAATTGTGCAATGTTTTGAAATGCTTAATGGCCCCAGCAGTCCCGGCAGTTAGTTTTAATTGTGTGCTTTAGTAACATTGTTACAGTTTTTGTGAGCGGTGAGGAAGGACTTGCCAGGGTACACCTGGTGGTACACAGAAAGCAGCTGTATCCGCTGCAGCTTGGGGAAGTTGTGCCCAGCGGCTGTGAGTGCCACAGAGGTGCCACACAGACAGAGAGAGGTGCTGGGCCAGACAGAGAAGCACTGCGCTTGGTCCGCAGCAGAGACGGGGTCAGGCTTCCGGGATGGAAAGGCCGGACTCGCCTCTACCTTAGGCGCCTCCCCCAAGTCTGCAGGTTGATTACGGGTGCTGAGCCATCCTGTGGTCAATTGACACACATGCTCATCCCAGAGAGCCCTGATCCTAATTGTATTTATGAGATGCAGTGCATTTTTATGAGCTTGTAGCGAGACAGAAGTAGGGCGGAGGTGACCAGAGGGTCAGGCTAGGCGATCCTAGGCACAGGTGCTGGTGCCTGAAGCACAGCTGGCATCTCCTAAGCTTCTATTATTTTATTCTCTGCCTCTCTTAGGACAGTGGAAGCAGGAATAACCACAAGGCACTGTCTAGGATTAAAGGGAGGGAAGGGAATGGATCTCTCAACTGTATTGTCTCTTAACTGTACTTACATGAATTACACAATTTTAAAAAGTAAAACAGCATGTTTTATTCAGATTAGTGTGTGGTATGTTACACAGTTTTTTGACTGATACATGAAAATAAACACATTTTATACCAGATCCCAAGAGGCATATTAGTAAGTGCTTAACCAGCCGCAAACCGCAATGAATTCTTGTCATGTTGCACATGGTGTCACCTGACTTCCCTTCTTTTCGGACCTGTTCATTGTGACCCACACAAGTTCCAGATGCAACTTACTAATGTGATTTTACCACCACAGTTCGTAACCTGGAGTTTAAAAACCACAGGTTTTGTGGTTTCTAAAAAAATTCTATGAATTTGTCTTTTTACTTTCAGGGCAGAAGTATCCTAGGGCTAAGGGGGAAAAGGAAGAGGGACCCGGTTCTTCCTACTGTGTCAGTCATGGCCAGGCCGCTTCTGTGACGCTGAGCTGTGTCGGCTTCCCCTCCCTGGCAGGAAGGCAGTCGCTTCTCCAGGTCACTGCAGGCCCAGGTGGTCTGCAGCGCCTGCCTGTGTGACCCTCCCTCCCTTTGCCTGTCACCAGGCAGGGCCTCTAGAGATTGACCTCCAGGCCCCACGCCGGGGCTCCCACACCTGCTCTTTTGCCTTGGCCACTTTGTTAAGGTAGTCACGGAATGCAGGTGAGCACGCATTTCTAGTTACTGGTCTGTTGGAAGACTGTTTACGAGAGAAGGCCCAGTAGGCAGAAGGGGAGGTCCCTGGGCGGGGTCCAAGGAGGCTCCTCAGCAGAGGACCTCAGGGCCCCGTCCCTCGCACACACCCTGATTGCGTTCTCCTCACGGTCATGCAGGCCTCCACATGCCAGGTGCAGAGGCTCCGGGTCCCCCCACGAGGGTTTTACTGGACTGCTCACACCTGCACACACGCCTTCCTCCTGTGTGGGGCCCACAGCCCTCTGCAGTGGAGATGTGGACTCTGGCTGCCTTCATGACACAAGGGAGGGAAAGTTACACTGTAGGCTTAGTTCTGTACCCTGCCTTCAGGAAGAGAAATTTAGTTTCCACACCTGTCTTAGAAAAACAGAGCAGATGGTCGAGACAGGCGAAGAGGACTTTGCTTTATTGTCTACTTCTGAGGCCTGGAGTGATGCCCGGGCATTCTTCTGGCTGTTTAGGGAATTATACGCCCGGGCGGTGACTGTAAAGCAAAGTATAATGTGTATTGTCTCAGCCATACTAGTTCAAAGTGAGATCTTCAGATTGTTTAACCGGTAGGACAAATCTGTGCTGTCTTCCATTGAAATCGGGATTATTGTATTAGTAGTTCATGATTCCAGTTGTTTTCATGACCGGTTCACAGCTGTCCTTCACTTATTAAAACCTCCTGGCCTCTCAGACCTGAAGCGGTGTGGGATTCCTGTGTGCACTCCTAAGGTGATCCTCCTTCCTGGGGAAGGATTCTTTGCTGGTCTGCAGTAGCAACAGCAAAGAGTAGTAGCCCATATTCAGGGAGCACTCCTAGCTGGCTAGGCTACCCCATGCACATTTCCCCCCTGCCGCCCTGATACACAGTTACAGTCCTGCAGCTATTTTGTAACAAGTAACCTAAGGCCCAGAGATACTGTGTCCCAGCTCACGTAGCTACTAAGTGGCAGAGCCACTTTCAAACCCCTGTGTTACTACCTTTGCTATTTATGAGAGTTGGTTTTTTGTTTTTTAAGAAAAAGAAAATGTAGCACTTAGTCTCTTCAAGAAACTTGTTTAGAAAGAGTATGTGAATGTTTAAAAATCTTTGTCTTAGACTGTTTTAATCTCTTTTTAATTTAATAAAAAGATTGTTTTGCAGAGACTCAGAATTTGTAGATTAAAAATTTTAATTACATAAGAAATGTACGTGAATTGCAGGGAGAACCCTATAATTGTCATACTTTGCTATTTACTCTTTTACTTTTTTTTCCCCTGATGCTTTGATTTGAACCTAGAGGCTCTGTACCATTGAGCAACATCCCAACCTTTTTGGACAGACTGGGAAATTCTCCTGCCCACAGCCTCCTGAAGTGCTAGGGTTATAGGAAAGTGCCACTGTGGCGAACTGTTGTACTCAGAATCAATCAATCAGTCAATCTTTCTTTGTTTTTCATACTGGGGATCAAATTCATGACCTCATGCTTGCCAGGCAGGCATTTGTGCCACTGAGCTAAACTCCAGTCGCTGAATGTTTTTCCTATACATTCTATGTGTGTGTGAGATATAAAAATGTGCCCTGCCTTCAGGAAGAGAAATTTAGTTTCCACACTGTCTTACTGTTCTCTACCTTGCTGTTTTATTTTCATTCCATGGATTACTAGGAGCAGTATTTCTGTCCTTAACTTAGGCATCAAGGTTGCTTGTACCCAGGGCCTTACACGTGGTAGACAGGCACCGTGCCACTGAGTTAAGCTGCAGCCTTAGGAAGCGCGTTCAGTGGCCGCATGCATGATCTATCTGTGGCTTGGCTGTCAACTAGTTTATTCAACTACCACCCAGTTAAAAAAATCTCTGCATTAACTATTTTTGTCAGTGTCTTTTAGAATTCACAGTTATTCCCTGAGGATCACATTTTGAGAAGGGATGTCTTTTCAACGTGGGCACTCATCCAGGCTGGCTATTTAGGGCCCAAGTGCACATGTGCTGTGCACTGGGGGTGAGCGGGGGAAGGGCTGCATTCCTGTGGCTCCTTGACCTAGGCAGGCTCGACTGTGTCCCCCTCAAAGACCCCTGGCCCAGTCAGGGGTGGCTCTGCTCCTCCTGGGGGTTGGCTGGCTTGGGCAGGGTGGGCTCCAGCCAATGCTCAGTGCTGAGGGAAACTGTCGGTGTCACAGTAGTGGCACTGCTGCTGGCAGGTAGGACGTGGAGAACAGGGACTCTGTTGCATGTCACAGAGCAGCCTCTCACAGCACAGAGAGATGTGGCCCAGGACATCCCTGGTGACTAGGCTGAGGGCGCCCAGAACATCCATGGTGGCCTTTCCAGTGCACTGGACACCACGTTGCCTTCTTCCTCCCAGAGAACCCGCCCACCCTTGCCCACTCCAGAGCTCCAGACCCCTGCTGTCAGTCATGGCCCCAACATCCTGACCCAACTTCCTGGGATCTCTCTGCACCCTTAGGTGCACTGCCGTGCACCTCCCCACTTCCTGGTGATCATGCTGCCTGTGCCTCTAGGAAAGCAATTTCTAAAAATCTTTTCACTAACTTTTAAAATAAAAACAGCTTCCTAGCTGTAGTAACAGCAAGACATTTTGTACCACGTAGCAGTTTCAACAGTAAGTGTGTAAGAGGATTAGTGTGTGTGTGTGTGTCTGTGTGTGTGTCTGTGTGTGTCTGTGTGGTGCTGGGGACTGAACCCAGGGCCTCATGCCTGCCAAACACAGGCTGTACCTCAGAATTGATCCCCGGATCATGTTTAAGGGTACTGCTGCTTGATCATGAGCTCCTCAAATTTAATTCCTAGCAGGTAAGAGCCCAGGGCTCTGCATTGGAACGCTTTCCTTTATCTAAAACCAGCTGCAGGTGGTGCAGCAGCAGGATGAGCTGCTGTCAGATCAGGGCTCCCCTGATGTAACCACCAGAGCACATGGCAAAGGAAACCAAGAGCTGTGGGCCCGGAATAGCGCCCACCCCCTCCTCAGGCCTGGGCCGCAGTGGTCAGCTCTCCCCACACAGCGGTGTGAATCTGGTGCTCCTGTCCTAAAGATGGTCTCCGGCTGTGTGTTGTGTTCCCCAGTGCCCCCAAGACAGGGCTGAGGGGTGAGGCCTGATAGAACAAGAGCCCCCTCGTGAGTAGCAGGATGTCATCGCCATGGGCCAATCCAGGTGACACTGGAGAGTTTGTTGCAGAATGAACTTGGCCTCATGCTCACTCACCACCTTTTTGCTTCCCTGTGAGCTGGAGCAGAGGCTGACCAGGGGCCACCCTGGGTGTAGGACCCAGCCTCCAGCCCAGGAGAAGTGAACCTCTCTTCTTCCTGTGTTCAGCAACAGAGACCAGTTTAGGACACAGTGTGCATGGGCGTAACCACTATGCCAGATATATACTCATCCTCTGTGTGCTCAGCATTCTTGGGAAACTTAGAGGGGAGCCATTTAATAGTAGGGGGACAGAGT